TTATTAATGGAGTTATGACTTTTCTAAAATAATGATGTTTTGTAAAGTAATACTCTACAAACAATTTTTTCACTCAAAACCTGAAATGAGTGTAGAGTTGAAATTTTGAGGACTTTTTCCCAAAGATTCAATGTAAAAAATACTAAAAACTCAAAGGGATTGAATTGAGTTATTATTAATGGAGTTATGACTTTTTTTAAATAATGATGTTTTGTAAAGTAATTACAAACAATTTTTTCACTCAAAAACTGAAGTGAGTGGAGAGTTGAATTTTTTGAGGACTTTTTGTTGCTTTGTGCATTAAATTTTCCAGATTGCAGGTGGATTAATAGAGATGGTGTATGTAATTCACCTGCAATCCAATGCACGGGCTACGTTAATCACCCTGTATATACATGAACAATTTTTTCTGCCGCTGTTATTGTTTTCAGGTGAGCCCCCCTGTAAACAAACAGAAACCAGAAGTCGTCGGATGACTCTAAGAGTCTATAATAAGAATCTTCTTCTAGACGGATTTTTGACAAAGGTAAGTACATATTCATCTATTTCCCATTTTAATATTTTTCACTGAAAAAGTCTGAAATTTTAGTCTGATGATCTCCTAACTTTCCTCTTTTTCTTCTAAAAATTTCACAATTTTCCCTCTAGTAGTTTTCCAGAAAAAATTAAATTGTATAAAAGTGCATTTTCGTTTGATATCCATAAAAATTGTGTCACTTCTATTTCTTAGGTAAGCCGTTACCCAATAAAGTCCAGAATCATTCTGAGCCCAAGCAGAATATTATAGGCTATTAATTATTTCTGGTAAAAATCCTAATTGTGGTTTGTAAGTGCAAGGTAATAGTACATTTTTCACACATACAATAGAACCTCGATTATCCGAGCTCTGGATTAATCGAGCCAGTCTAAAGACCCAAAACTCCGAGGTCCATACTCCGTATTAACCGAGTTTCTAGAATATACCATACATAGTATAAAAGTTCTGAGACCTATATTTAGCCCTTAGACTGATACCCCAGAAAATAACTTCTGTTTATAACTGGCCAGTCACGAATATTCACCTACACTCTTCATAGGTAGGTATACATATATGTACATTCGGATTATCCGAGTTTTCAGTTATCCGAGGTCCACGTTACTTTGGATAACCGGGGTTCTATTGTACCTACCTACATTAGTGCTTTAGTATTTTGGGTGTTGGATATTGAAGGTGAATAAATAAGTAATTTTTAATATAAAACATTGAATTTTCACTAACATAATGTTGTTTTTCCAGACATCCCTTTTCCAAATTTTGAACCATGAAGTGATGAGCTGGTTTTGGTCATGGATATGATACAAATGGATCAATAAAGGCTAAGTTTATCATTACTTTGGACATTGTACAGCCACTCTAGACATGGGACAAATAACTAGGATTTGTGGACATTGAAACAAATGACTGACAATGGTAGACGTAGCCACAACCGACTGGACAATGATGGACATGACTGCATGGATCCAAACTTCTATTACTTTTCTCTTCCAGGTGAAATTACATATGTGTCAATTCCCGAAAAACAGTTCATGATACGACTGAATCTTTAAAGCAGGGAAGCCCCGGGGGAGCCTAATGCCATAGTTGTCCTGGACCTCATTTGTTGCACTAAATATACACCGTAAGCATGGTAAGTGTTTGCAGTGGTGACTTCCTAGCTGGCGAGTGAAGGTTGAATTGATGGATAGTTGACGGTTTTGGCTGTACAAGTGTAATTTCAAAGTGCATTAGGCCTAACGGGGAAAGCACTTGAAAAAAAAACGCACCGACAGCTCGTACCTCTAGGGTGGTGTGGAAATTGGGCTTGAAGTTACAATTTTGAAACTTAACAAGGTAAGTTATTGAAAATAAAACTTTCTTTAGTAAAATTATAAACTTTTTGTTATAGGGCAGCACTAATAACCGAGAGTTTTAAGCTTAAATCTGCAAGACTTGTGACTGGAATCCAGAATTATATGAAGTCATGGTAAAAATCCTGGTAAGTTTTTTTCATTTTGGACATTGGAATCAAGAATCAGACCTATTTCCAAATTGGGGAAAAGATGGCTTTTCAATGTTTCAAGTTTGAGTTAATTTTTCCAGGAAAAAAAGATCTCAGATCAACTTCCAACTTCCAGAAACAAAATTCAAGTTTGGAAAATTTGTTTTCATGATTTATATAGCTTTTTTGATCTATTTTGGCTATGGAAGTTGTGTTTTTGAGCAATGAAAGGGCAATTTTACACGAGTTTCCAGACTGTGAAATTGGAAATTTGAAATTTTCCGATTGATTTTTTATTACTTACATTCATTTCACTATATTATGTGTGTACAAGATTATCCAACAAAAGTGCTTTCTACCTTATATACCTGTTATAATTGAAGAGGTAATTTTAGAAAATTCAAATGAACAGAGGTTTCATATGGATCAGACGCTGGTTTGGAAGGTAATTTTCAAACTTCAACATTAAATTTTTAGGTAAATTCTCAACAAGTTATTTTTCGTAACTTCTGCTTTAGACATTATTACTATTTTTTGACCTGTAAAGTTTTTTGATTAAAAAAATACAAGATCCAAGAAAAAAATCACCTTTTTACAGACACGCAGACCACATCAGGTCCTAGGAAAAGTCCATGTATACTTTTATCAACCTTCCAGAGATATTATATTCTGTTTTTTCTTTTTCAGTTGTGACATGTAACGGAACCAGAACTTCGGTAAGCTACTTCTGGCCATCTGATTGGGGAAGTGTGGCATTGTACTTTGAGCATTTGGCTGTAAATATTTTCAATACTTATTTTTCTAAACTAATCGAAATTGCATTTCACTGATATCCAGGACAAGAATTCGTGGTTTGATTATTTCTTTTTGGTATTTGGTGTCCACTGTGTAGGCCGTTCGCCATAATAGGTTAGAATCCCATTTGTTACACCGAATATACTATTTAAGGTAAGTGTAGTAGTGGGGCACTACCGAATACCGGCGAGAAATGGTTGAATTATGATTGGCTGTTGGCTGTTAGCTGCACAATGTCGTTTTGAGTGAATTCAGCCTAATGGGGCTTTAATAGAATAGCTGAATGCTCTCCATAACTTTGCCAGGCATTTTTTTAAAAACAAATTCAGATGAAGAGACAAGTGATTAGGTTCTTGTTTGAAGGAGATTATTCCAGAAGAGAAAAATTGCAAGTTTGCTTTTTTATATTACGTCTAGTTAAGGTTGGTATCATCATCATCAGCATCATCCACACAGCCTTTTCTGGGTCTACTGATGATGATAGGCCGCCTCAAGTTGATTCCAGTTCTTCCTTTTCTAGGCATTTATTGAATTCTGGTTTATCTTTTATTTTTTTCAGCAAGGTAGGAAGTCTTCGCAGTTTTCGGGAACATCCGCACCGTTTAATCTAGCAACATATTTGGCCAATTAATTAACGGGCTTTTGATGTGGATACGGCACAAATATCCACCTTCAATGCTTGAATCATTGGATGGTATTTACAGAGAATTCAGATCAACAGAGGTTTTATGGATCAAACATGCTGGTGTATCTGAAAAAGTAGGTAATTTCTCACTTCCACACTTTTATAGGTAGGTACTAAAATTGTTTCTAGATGACGAGACAAGTGACCATGTTCTATATATTATATCAGGATTGTTCTTGTTCAAAGAAGATTAACAGTGCATGTAGGTACCTATGTCTTTTGTGTGGTTAGTGTCATCATCATTTGCAATTTGGCTTATCTTGATTCTTTTCAGCTAGGTCATCATTCTACCAGATAGGAAGTATTCCCAGTTTTCTGCACCATCCGCACTCCTCAATCCAGCAACATGTCCCGCCCATTTTTATCAATTTAAAAATCAAGCTGGCTTCCACTCCGGATCCAGCACAAATTACCATAATGCCTACAAACTCTTTTTTGGCAATTTCATGGACCAATAGAAATACTATTTTTCGTAACATGTGCACCAATTCCCAAAACATTTCATGATTTTACCGAATCTTCCGGCATGAGGCCCCGGGGAGGCCTAATGCCGTAGTTGTCCTGGATCCCTTTTGTTGCACTATTATACTATTTACGGTAGGTAAGTGTAGCAGTGGCGCCATCCAAGCTGGCGAGAGGGTGTCGAATTTATGGAAAGTGGTCGGTCTTGGCTGTACATTGTAATTTCAAAGTGGAATTGGCCTAACGGGGAAACTACTATTGGGAAAAAAACGCACCAACAGTTCGTTTGTTACAGGGCAGCGCAAATAACCAATAGTGAATTTACTCCCAAATCTTTTTATTTGCAAGATTTCAAGACATGAGATGAGATATGATCACCGAAACTAATTTGATGAAAGGACTGTCTCGTATTATCTTTGGATTGTAAGGGTTTGAGGAGTAGGCACTTGAGTGGTTGGTCTGTATACCATCTTATATGTTAGTAGTAGCTTGAAAGAAGGCGCTATGGTGTTGGTGAGTTGGTGTGGCTTTTTCATGCATATGCGCGCTTTTCTTTTCATACGGAAACATACTTCTCAATTTATCAGATGCATTTGAAACGAGTTTTTCCAAAATGTATTCAATTTAAGAATAACAGTAATAATTAAAAAGTTCAGTAATTTTATATCCAAATATTTGAGTTGCTTTTAAATTTAACTCTTTATTTTCTTGAATACAAAGTTATGAGTAGTGATGAATGCACTCCTCAATGATAAATTATATTATTTCAATAAAAGATAACACTGCTAAATCACACTTTTAAATTAATTACATAAGTGGTGAAACTGGTTACTCGTTGAATCTAGGAATTGTTTGTTTCATTCATCATTCATTCATTTTTTTTATTTTATTGACGTATTCCGAGTAATTGGCACAATTTTTGAAAATCTTTTAGATGCTTGCTGATAAATCAGAAATAATAAGTTGAATAAGTAGTTCAACGATAAAACAAATATTTAATTTACCATGTTAAGTACCTATATTATATCTACCTTCATACAAATAAGTGTTATCATTTAGTTTGTGGATTTTACGTTAAGAAATAAACTAATTGAAATCGTATCAACACAAAATTTCCCATTTCTTCTGATTAAATGTGTTTTGGTTCTTATACATTTAATTGCTGGAACTCTTATCTGTAGATACCCTAATATACAAACTTTTATTGTAAGTTGGGAATATTTAAGTATTTGTATTTCTGAAAACTTCCCGGATGAGCATCCCTCCTGCTTTCAATAATATGAATGCTTTGCTAGATCAATTCAGCCAAACATAAATATATTTTTTTTCAAATAATTTTCTTCAGCTTCCTATATCAGTGCTTGAAAATAAAACTATTAGCCCCTACTTTTAAAAGACTTGATTGACACTTTAAGGTAGGTATATCTATAGGTACTTAGAAATCTATTAATAAAAATGATAAAAATACAATTTTAATCCTTATTTAATGAACAATGTCAATAATCATAAACATTTGAGTGCATAATAACTCTTCCAATAATGTGAAATTCTTCACGGGTTGATAATTCTTTGTTTCAAAATCATACTTTCCATTTGTTCGATGTAAATCATACGTCACTTCTACGTCATGCCAGTGTTTTATTATTCATTAGTGTGACCAAAGAATATGTGTGACTCATCTACGCATCTCTACCATTACTGAAGTAGATTGAAGATCACCAGTAGAGACAGGGCTTTAAGCCTACTTAATTTTAAGTATAATGCTTCAAGTGTTTAAGTAGCTATTATTTTCTTGTGGCGTCAACCTTATTTCAACTGATGATAAAAATACTTAAGTAACTCAAAAGTATTTAGGTATATAATAGGTACCTATCTATTCTCATAAGGCTATATTATCGTCAAGAGCTTAGGCATATGTGTAATAACTTTATAAAATATTCCTCCGCCCGTCTCTGGGTTGCTCCAAAAATCCAATTAGATTAGAATATTGCTGCGCAGAAGTTGAATTGTGTAAAACCAGCCTTAAACATTGGAGCCTTGGAACTGTTCAACGGGGTATAAGTTTGAACTTTGACCAACAAACGCGTAAACTCGGATAATTTTACCGGCGTTAAAATATAATTTTTTTTTCAGTCAGTACGTACCAGGTATCATTGCAATTGCACCAAGGCTAGTGGTACTAGTACGTAGGTACATCGATTTCGTACTTGGAAGTTAATTTGTGTTTTTATTTCAATTAGAGGTTGGTAAAAATTTATTTTTGTTCGTGAGAAAAATGTTATTATTGTGCAATTTTTTTTTAGTGCACTTTGGAGTGTGGCCAAGAATTATAACATTTGATTATCCACTGGTAAGTTATATTTTTCTATAGTATATTGTTGTATTTTAGTAAGTGGATTTGTTCATTTTTGTGTCAAAACTTTCTACAAGCGTTGGAAAAATGAACTTTTCCGCTCAGGTGCGTGAAAAAAATTATAAAATTTCAACAAAATTTTAAACAATTTTCTCTTAAATTTGGAGCAAAACCCTACATAAAAATGAAATTATTCAAATGCCAGTAATTTTGTTCCCTATACTAGCGTGAATAAAATTGACTTTCCTCACGAGCGTGCGGAAAAGTGCATTTTTCTTCACTCATCAGTCATCATTCGATGTTTTATACCTTCAAAAATCGCGAAAATGTAAAATGTATTACCTTACGAGAGAATTCGTCAAGTATAAAAGCTACATGGATTTGTAGTTAACACATTCAGAAAGGACACATTTCAAAGTGTGTGACAGTTTCAGATCCCTAGCTATTTCCGGAAAAGTTTTACAGAATTTCAATTTTAATGCAAAAACTTGTACCCAAATCAAAAGAAAATGATATTTTCGTTGATTATCATGCCATCATTAAAACCCAACGTCATAGTCATGCGTGTGTGGGTATAACAAATATTTCATTATTGCGACACGTACATACCTACACAAGGAAAATATAAAAATGGTTTTTCACATTTCCAAATGGAGCGTGGAAAATCGATATCAACTTGTAGCTATGTAGATGGAAAAGTGCTGATAAACAAAAACCGCACTGGATAATTTGTATTTTCTTTCAAGAACCAACATTAGAAAACATAATTTTTAACGATTTTCAAATTATCTTTCTGACAGGAAATCATACAAATTAAGTTGAAAACTGAGACACCCAAATGCGATAAAAAATGGATTATTGAAACACAATCCATGTGATAAAGTTCTATATACCTACATACATATTATTATTTTTATAATAATTTAATACCAAAACTTGATAAGATAATATCAATCAAGATTAAGTGTTTTTAGGTACCTACTGTCTGTAAAGCACAAAAATTAAAAATGAATTTGAAATATGAGTAGGTAATCTTAATCTACAGATTATTCCACTGTAATTACCCTATTGCGTTGGTAATTGGTATATATGTTAGTGGTTTTTGTATAAATTTCATGACTAAAACCTTTTGGTGCGATTCTCGAATGACCTCAAAATTGTTAGGATTTTCCAACATTATGAACTATTATGCTCCGCATATCAATCGATATATTATTATTATTATAACAATAATTGCCCTCTGGAATTTATTTTGTGAATAAGCTTCGGCAATAATTTATAATATTTTTGAATAATTAAGCATTCTAACCAATTTAAAAGTCCCAAAAGTTAGTGTTATTTTCAAAACAACACAGTCCAAAGTTGTTAATTGTGTACTAAAGCCTAAGAATTTTTTAATGAGGTTTTAATTACAAAAAACAATAATAATTAGGCTAAACTTCTCATATTCTGAACGTCCACAGAACCTGTTGAAAATAATTATTAAAATCCAAATTAAATATTATATAGGTATGCTTGCTGCTAAAATGAAAACTAGCGAATTTTGGGTGTGTGGTTTTATTATGGATATCAAACGCATATTTGAATTGTTTATGTCCTAAATGTAACAGTTTTTATTACATACAAAAAGTTCAGGTTAAAATTAGACCAATCGATCCCCTAGGAGAGGTGCGGCAAGTCAACACACACCCTGGAACAAGCAAATTTACGATCCAGGATCCAAATAGGCAATTAAATCTAGGAACAGCTTTTCTGTATTCCCAGAACGAAATGAACAAACTGTAGTTGCGAGTGCAAAAAATCTTATCGCATTATATTGTATCCAATAAAAAAGATAACATTAAGCCCCAGTTAACTTTTTATCAGGTGCAAAAATCCCTAATAATAAAATGTTTATTAGTATAGTGTATTTATTGTCATTGCAGCAAGATGTCTAAAGAAGCTCCGCCACCGTACGAAGGATATGGCGCTCCCGCTCCAGGATTTTATCCACCTGGAGCCTACCCTCAACTACCGCCACAGCATATGGGACCGCCACCTCCCCACCATATGGGACCGCCACCTCAGCATATGGGACCACCACCAACACAAGAACATACAGGTAAGTGGAAAGTTTCTTTTTCTAAGCTGAAATCCTGAAAAAAGAAACTCTAGGTGACGTATTTTAGAACTATCATAAAATACAGGGTGTTGCACATAGGCGGTTCTAGGTGGGGGCTTGGGCGGGCTAAGCCCCCCCAAATCTGGAATTAGCCCCCCCAAATTTAAATTAGTGATGAGTGGCAAAAGTTCGCCGTCCCTGAGTAAAAAATATTGAAGCGATAGGATTAATTAACTGCATAATTTCTTTTATCCACAATCATCAAATAATGGCAGTTTTATCCACTCATATGAAGCGTCTAAAGTGATACTTTATCCACTAGTGGAATAAAATAACTTTATTCCACTAGTGGAATGATGAAATCAAGAAATACGAAATTTTTATTCTATTTATTGATATTAACATTAACATTTATATTAATAGATACTCCGTTGATTGATCTGTCTCCTATAACTTCGTTATTGTTGGTTAAAAGGTGATAATTTCCATCAGCTTGGAAACGCACGTTTATGGGTGTTTTGGCAGAATTACCCGGAACAGGAATAATGGGTGTCTCCTCTTGTAAGGGACAACTATTTTCCTCTTGGATTTTGTTTGCAATACTAAGCTTACCGGGAATGGAATCCTCGATATAACTTTCAGCAACAGAGGGAGCTCTTCCATCCGCCATGTGTATGTACCATCGTCACCAAAAGTATCTCGGACGAAAATAATGCATAATAATCTCCTGGACTAATTGTACTGTCATTCATTCCATTGGATTTAATTCATGGTTTGACAAATATTTGACAATAATATTCATATAATAGTACAATAGCTAATATGATGCTGTCTCAGTTACTTTTGGTGACGATGGTACGTGTGATTGTGGATAAAACGTTGTATTACATTCGTGTTTTAGTTGCATTTTATCCACTTAAGAAAATTAAACGCTCGAACTTCGTTCTCGCGTTTAAACATTCATGCGTGGATAAAATGCTTCCTAAAACACTTATACAATAAATAACTATAATTTCACTGATTTAATACCTTTATCTAATTATTTCATAAAATTTTATTCAATTATTTCATAAATATCCGAAATCGGGACGTCTGGAAACAGAGGCAACCCTAGCCCCCACCGCTAGGGAAAGGGTTGCCTCTGTTGCCTGTAGGTGTGTGTAATAAGTAGGAGCAGCCAAAGTTTACGCGCTGCTCAGCTAAGCGGCATTATCTTATCTAGATACGATATTAATCTGTAGCAACGTTGGAAACCTTTGGAGTGGAGACGTTGTAAAACTTGTGTTTTTGTTTGGGTTGATTCACAGTTGCATATTAGGTATTTTTCGCTCTAGTGTGAATAAACTTACTTAAAGGTTACAGATTTGTGAGTTTTTGTGTTCAAAGTTTTTGACTAAATATTTATTAAAATATGTATAAGGTTTTTGGGCAAGACAGCGCCTGCGGCGAGCGACCTCGGAGCAGGGGCTTCAGCCCCCCCAGCGCAGATGGGCTAGAACCGCCTATGGTGTTGCAAGTTTCAATAGTCATTTTTGTAATGCAACTTTTACTTCATAAAATCATATTCATTAAAAAAGTCCAGGAGTGTCAAATCAAGTGAACGAGCCGTCCAAAGTTTCGCTGCCAATCCATCTTCAGAGAAATGCTGCAAAGTATGTTTGTTAGATAACAAACAGTGTTTTTTACCTCATCCAGTAGTACCTGAAGAATGTTCAGGTAGATGCTCGAAGTGCCATTTCTGTACCTACACAGGAAAGATTCGTACATTTTTCTTATTGGTCACTTTTATCCATACATTTTCCAACTAGGGGTATAATCTAGGGTTGTATTCGCTTCATTTTTTGTCAAATTGGACAGTTATCTCTAGTGGGCATATTTGTGAAAGCTGGCGTCATCAGCGAAAAGCACATTGTCCATGATATTATCATTTTAAATTATCGCTTCCAGTAACTCATACCCTATCAAACAGCACAAACTCGATAAAAATCTTCTTTTAAACGTCTATTTCCGTCATCATCTGAGTCATTGTCAAATGTTATGAATGATTCTTATGAATCCAGATCTGATAAGGTTTCTGAAAGATCATGTCTAAATTTAACAGTTTTATATCGGAAATAGGTTCAACCTTGCGCTGATGAACTGATAAATGCCAGGCTTTGTTTGTCCATTGTCTATATTAGTAGTGACACATTATTTCAGGTCTCTCTAAACATATAAATCTTTGGAACCATGAATCTTGAGAGATAGAAGTTTTCTATTTTTCATGGCCTTTTCTCATATTTTAATAAATATGGAGGAATAATAAAGTTATATAGAACATTTGGTATAACTTTGTATTTATACTAACTGTCCACAAACTAAATAACGGATTCTGATCTAAATTCCTAATTTTTCTTTTCCAGTTATTGTAACTACCACTACACAACCAGTCATGGTAGGACCAGACCCAATGCGAACTTCCTGCCCGCATTGTCACGCCAGCATAACTTCTGCCATCGAAACTGAACCCAACACCAAAACTCACTTGTTTGCCTTATTACTGTGCGTCTTTGGGTGAGTAGATAATTGAATTTAAATAATTTTGGTTTATTGATGGTTTTTTTTTTAGTTGTTGGCCATGTTGCTGCCTTCCATACTGCATGGATTCCTGCCAGAGCAAAAAGCATTTTTGTCCCAATTGTAGAGCTTATCTGGGTACATTCTCTGACTAAGTTATTTTTTTCAAGCTTCAGAATTATATAATATATTTATAGTCAAAATATAAGCTTATTTTTGATGGTATATAAGCTTATTAAAGCATGAAAATTTATTTAAATACTGTTTTTATATGATTAGGTAAAAACATATTTCTTCAATATAATCAATATGGGGTATATAATATAAAATTGTACCCACATTATCATTATACATTCCAATGGATTTTTCTATTACCATTTAGCATAATAATGAAATTAAATAAATTTAATATTTTCATCATATCACATTATTATTTCAAATCCTTATGAAGTGGAGTTCTTAAAATTTGAATCCACTTCTTCATGAATAAACTGACCCTCTTTGTATACAAACTTGTTCTTATTCTGTCACCAAAATACAATAAACCAAACAAATATGACCGACATATGACCTAATTTATTAAATAATACTAATAATTAGTAAATTAGATTTGAAGCATAACGAAGTATAATGGGCGCAACCCAGTGTGAAACCTTTTTGAGTGACAACCGTGGAGAGGATTTTGCTATCTAAAATAGGTAAAATCATTTTTTAAATTATTTCTAACAGTGGAGTGTGAGTGATCATGCTGGAAAATTCTCAAAAGGTAAGACTTTTCTAGATAACTTTGATTTATTTGAGTAGGTGCATGCCTTACATAAGTGACATTATCAAAAAAATAATAATCTTATTACATGTTTTAGTTTAATTGATGCACTTTCCAAGTAAAGTAGGTACTTCACAAGTCAACAACAAATTAAAATTCATCATTAAAACTGTAATATTTTCGAACAAAAATTCCTCTCATACTGAGGAAAATTTGAACAAATGCCTACATATTCAAGTCATAGATTATATATTTATAGGGTGTCTTTACCTAAATTTCTTGGAATAGGAAGCTTTGTTTGTTTTTCTTCCTTATTGATCAAAATGCAAAATAAATAGTTAAAATTTCTTAAGAGCCTATAAGAATTTGGATAAAGTAAATAAAACTGTAGATAGGGTATATACTTTTTTTTATCAACTAACAAAAAACATTTTATTTGTTTTTGCAATTTGCGAAATAAGTGAAGAATGTATGAGGGTAATTTGTAGACTTATCCATTATTCATTTTATTTCATTCCAGATCTCACGTTCATACGAGCCTAGTACAGTTTACGTCCAAGAAAAAAAAGTAATGCCTTATCCTTATCCATATTATGTTCCTGTTCCTACAGAGCCTCATCGTCACTGCGAACTTTCAGATAATCATCATCGGTATATGACCCCTAATTATATAATACCCTTTGTTATGCTAGGTAAGAGTAGTAATAAGACTAAAGTGAAAAATATTAGAAATTTTTCCGATTTTCCAGGAACGGTAACGCTATTTGCAGTCCTTGCTCTTGGTCTTTTTATATTGCTAGATAGAGTCAGAATGACTCCCGTTATAAGAGCGAGAATGTTGGAGAATCGATCGCAGCTAATATTAGCGGAAGAAATGCTCAGGAAAGCTACTAATTACTATGATCAGCTTAATGGAAATGATTAGCTGATTGTAGATGATATAGATTTCACTTTAAGTTTTAATTCTTAAGACGTTAATCAATAATGGAACAAAGTTTGTTTCTAATATTACAGATAATGTATCATCTTGATATTGTTTAACTCTTTACCTATTTATAGTTTTTAGGAAATAAGTAATTTAAATTATATTTAATGTATTTATTTATCATTAACAATAACAATATTAGCAAATGCGTACCTATACTCACTTAACATAATGTAGGTACCACGCATCAATGAATGATCAATACTGAAAAATCCAAGTTCCTCATCCTGATTCCCAAGCAAATGAAAAGAGAAAGGTGGATTAGGTAGGTACCCTATAACAGCACAAACTTTGACAAAAGGTATGATCGATGGACGACCAAAGGGTTCCGTCAATTTTAACTCCTAAAGATGGAATAACAATACCTAATTCTTTCAAACGTCTATCTAAAGACGTCTCAGGACTAATATTTCATTATTATTACTTATTTTATAACTTTCAATTTTTGTCTGTTCTAGGCGCTAGGGTCTCTGGAATATTTCTGAGGTATTTAAATTGTTCTGAAGCCTTTCCAAATGCTACTGGAAAGTGTTTTGGAACGTTCTAAATGGCTTATTGAAGGTCTAAAGTGCTCTAACTTGGCTTGAAGAGTTCTGGGAACATTTTAGAAGTTTTTTAGTACCTACTTCCTAATTCGTTCTGACTGATTTTTTAAGTAGGTATTCTAGAGTCCTATTGAAGCTCCAAAGTGTTCTAAATTGGTTCAAAAGAGTTCTAAAAGGTTTCCAGTTCTAAATTTATTATGATTTTTTCTAAAATAAGTAACTCTGAAGTTCCAAAATTATTCTGAAAATTCTGATTTGGATTTGAACTGTTTTGGATGCTTATTAAACTATTAAAGATCTAAAGTTTTTCAGCAATCTAAATTCGGTGTTAAAAGCCTTCTGAAAAGCGTTTCGTGACTTTTAACTTGAATCCTTAGATTCTGGCGCTTTTCAAAATGAGATTCTAGAGTGTTATTTGAGTGTTTTGGAGCGTGCTTAAATGGGTTTCAATCTTCTGAATTGTTCTAAAATGGTTTTGGAAATTCTAAATCGGTTTTTGAATGTTTTAAGGCATTTTAAAATGGTTGACGTTTCCAAATTGTTCTGAGGCGCTACAGAATACTTTTGGAAATTTTGAAACTTTCCAAAAGGCTTATTAAAGTCTCAAGTGTTCTGTAGCATTTTAATATGGTTTCTATTAACTTATGAATTGATTGAGAAACGAATTCGGTAGGAAGTTTTTGTGTAGACATCTTGAAAACGACGCTAAGATGTCCACAATCGACATTCAAGACGTTTTTTAAACGTCTGCTTATACCTATTCACATCTTGAGGATGATCGTCCCAACGTCTTTCAAACGTCTGCCTAAAAACGTCTTTGACATATTTCTAAGACATTCTAAAGATGTCTTATATAGAAAATAATCTCTTTTTGAAACCTAAACCATTATTCACTTTTAGGCGTGGTTGTACTAGATAGTAATAGTATGGCTCCGTTGTCTTAAGATGTATAAATTTCAGCACTGATACCATCTGCAGAAATACCCCAAAAAATCCCCAATTCAAATAGAGATCTTGGTTAGATCAGGCTCTCTTCCAGCTAGCTTAATGAAAGTCGTAACTTAAATTGATAATCTTTAAATTTTGGTTGGAAAAATAATCAAAATTAGGTAGGTACTATTTTAGCTTATTTTGAATAGGCCCCTTGCATCAGTTTTTTTTTATTGCTGATATCGTTAATCAATAAAAAATAAGTCAACACGTGTTTTTTCTTTTTCTTGTTAGTCAAAAATTGACGGAGATACAACGCTTTGAAATGTAACTTATTTTTCATATCCTATGACGTCACACATGCTTAATATATCTATATATACAAAACTTAATATTTGTTGAAAGGTTCCTTATTTACGGTGGTAGTTACTGTGCCAACTTGACCCAGAGCTCTTTTATAGGAGTTCTGCGCTCAGGATGACGGATTTAACCAAACCATTATTAAACATGAAAAAGAAGTAAATAATGGTAAATTTGAGCTGAGAGACTAATGCAACGGATATTGGAATATCATTTGCTGTTAGATGGACTAACGACTGATGAACATCATGAAGAGTATGTAGAACTGAAAAGGGCCCACGAAGCAATATTAGACATTGCTGGCTACATCAATCAGGCGCATAGGCATGTGGAACATTTGAATGTAATAAATAATCTTCAGGATAATATTGTGGATTGGGAACACGAGCCAGTAATAAAATTATCAAACTATGGCAATCTTATAAAAGACGCGGAACTGAAAATAAAGGCCCACGACGATCAGAAGACCAGAAACAGATACGGTGTTCTTTTTTGATACAAGGCCATTCTTATTTTTAAAGCTCGAAACAACCAATTGACCTTCAGGGACATTCTAAACATAATGGACGTTGAAGAAATCCACAATCGCGCCATCCTGAATAATCAGGGCCGCTGGAATTACAATTTTCTACTAGTGAAAAATGGCCAACAGATGGCCTACACTATATCAGTTCGCACACTCGAGTTGAAGGAGCAGATTGTTGGGGCTTCGAGGCACATGACAAATTATCCGACCAAAAAGTTTAGCACACACAAACCACACTCTAGAACTGACCACGTTTGCTAATCCAATTCAGTGCATGTATTGCTGCAAGTACCTACCTCAAAGAACTAATTTTCCAGGGATATTTGTGTCAAAAAGGCAACTGCGTTGTCCACAAAGTGTGCGTCCAGTTTAGTGGAAAATGCGGGGTGTCGCCTTTGAGGTTGCAAGCGAATTTACCCAATGGTATAAGCGAAAGATACCCGCTTAGAAACAAGCTCTGGTACGTGGGCGAAATGGACCGGATGATAGCTAAAGAAAAACTCATTAGGAGCAAGAACGGGACGTTTCTAGAATTGTGGCCCATCAATTCTGCCGCTAGGAAGTACTACTTGCAGTGTTGCCAGCATCAGTACAGATGTACTGGAATCAGTACAATTTGACTGTCTTCAGTACCACAATATAAAATTCAGTACATTTTGCCGCCGCTGTATAATACCGGGGATATTTTTAAGCGGCGGGAAAAATTAACGAATACCTGCATTTTCGAATGAACGGACGGGGCAGATGTACCCCACGGATCACTCCGGGCGCATCCCAGCAGAATATTGAACGCACCCCAAACATGCCTTTAGCCCGCGCCCATTTTACGCCTGTCTGGACTTAATCTCGATTAGGAGTTTGATCTCGCTTAGTTCGGAAATTTGTCATGCACCGTAGAAAAAAAGTAGTTTAAGCTTTGGATTACAAAGATCCACCCGAGAGGAGGGTTTTGCTTAGATAAGATGTTGCTTAAGATCAAAAAAAATTACAAGAAGGGTGATGACATGGCAATATTACTGAACTAACTTAAATTGCCTAACATGTACATTCTTGAGAAGCTAGAAGATATTAGCATTAAATTTCGTTGAATAAGTAACGTGCTCCAATCTGTAAAGTCATATCTTTAGTGACTTTAGTTAGGTAAAGAGGTACCTAGTAGATAAAAATAGTATATTGTTGTATTAGCAGTAGAAGCTTTACTTTTTTGTGCTGAAGCAGTAGGTTTGCGAGCCGAACGTAGTGAGGCTTGCAATACTGCTGAAGCACAAAAAAGTGCTTCTACTCCGTATGCAACAAACTATTTTTTCTCCAAGCGAATGGGGTAAGCTCGGGGGTAACTGAATGGTTGAGCGGCAGTAAAAGTACGAGCGGCACTAAAAGTACTTTTGCTGCCGCTGGGGTTGCCAAGCAGCATCGAATAGTATATTGTCGTATTAGGAGTAGAAGCTTTACTTTTTTGTGCTGAAGCAGTAGGTTTGCGAGCCGAACGTAGTGAGGCTTGCAATACTGCTGAAGCACAAAAAAGTGCTTCTACAGCGTATGCAACACGCTATTTTTTCTTCAAACAAATTGGGTAGGCTCGGGGGTAACTGAATGGTTAAGCGGCAGTAAAAGTACGAGCGGCACTAAAAGTACTTTTGCTGCCGCTCCAGCGGCACTAAAAGTACTTTTGCTGCCGCTGGGGTTGCCAAGTAGCATAGAAATTAAATTTCTACCACCTCGACAGGTGTTAACCTGCTGGATTTGCCTACCAGCATAGAAATTAAATTTCTGACATCTTGACAGAGGTTAACAAAGTGGCGTTTTTTTGACGTTTGGAGAAAAATTAAATTTCTACCACCTCGACAGGTGTTAACCTGCTGGATTTGCCTACCAGCATAGAAATTAAATTTCTGACATCTTGACAGGGGTTAACAAAGTGACGTTTTTTTGACGTTTGGAGAAAAACAATGTTTTTCTTGAAGCCCATCGCCCATCCGAGTTTTTAATTAACCCACTAACCAAACCGTGAAATATTAAAAATAATTTAAAATGAATGATCTGATCTGATCTGATTTGATGTTTTAAATTTAAAGCAGTACAGGAGTAGGAAAAACAAAATAAGTATCCGCGAAAACCTTCTACTTTATCAGTTTTATGAATTCCAGTTCAGTTTTTGAAGTTAGTAGGTACATTTTTCCGTTTTTCAGTACATTTTTTGTCTCTTGATCAGTACTTTAATTTTCAAGACTCTGGCAACGCTGACTACTTGTCAGAGTCCAGATTTTTCAATAGTATTTGAGATATGAAAACTATAGTTTAAAGGAAAATTTCGACAGTATGGCGATGCTGTTGATAGGATGAGTCAATTGTCGTTCAAAGAAAACGAAGTCATTATTGTGATAGGAAAGGACGGTTATAGGGAAGGTTGGTACGTGGAAAGGCCGAACAGAGGACAATCAAATTGTCAGACCAGGGGTACACTTTTTATTGCCGCCTAATACCGTATATCTAAAGGAAGGAAAATATCAATCTTGGGAATATATGAATAAGTGAACGACGACGAACTCGTTAATATAAAGGATCCATTTTATCAACAACTCAGTGACCAAATCATAAGAGTAGGAACTTCAAGGGAAATAATATTGCTGGAAGACTTTAACAGACGAACAGGGAGAAAAATCAACGACAAGGTAGTCGGAAAATTTGGAGAGAATGTAACGAATAACAATGGAGAAAGGCTCATAGCAATATGCCAACAAAATAACCTAAAAATCCTAAACGGTTACTTTCAGCATAAAGAATTACATAAGTAGGGGAGAGTGGGGCAGCTTCGACATGTTAAGTTTACAAGATTTTAAAAACGATTTGTATTTACAGAAATAAACACAACTTTATCTGAACATAGTGATAACATTTCTTTAGTAGGTAATAGGCATTTAAAACCAATATCGTATAAATTCAGAGAGAAAAATATTTTTTTTTTGCATCAATGTCAAATGACGAACTTGCCCTCCTCTATGGGGAAATTTGACAGCATTATTCTGATACAAATACCTAAATTTTATTTTCTATCTAAATCACAGCAAAAATTAACTGCTCTTTTTCGTATACATCAGATCGTTTTTTTATAACCTCTAATCATCCTAGAAACAAAAATAATAGTTCGACAGTGCCGGAATAACGATTGGCGAAGTTGCCCCACCCAAGCGGAATCTAGTAAAATATTTAAAAACATCTTACAGTAGTATTTTATACCGCCTCTATTATCAAATATTTCTACAAAAGATGGGTCAAAGTCACTCTGTAAAAATTAATTTGCGAAATAGAACACTCTAACGGAACGAAAGTATCATTTAAGTAATAGCCAATCCTTAGATCAGAAATTTAAAAACTCGATAATTGCGTTTTATGCGACAAATTGAGTAGCTACCTTCTCCAGACTTAAGGAGCAACTAACTGATACGTACGATGCACCCTCCTCAAGCCAGTTTCGGAATTTCCGAATCCAACCGATTCCTAGTAAAGCGCTGTGACAAACTTGCCTCGCATGTCGAAGTTGCCCCACTCTCCCCTACACATGGAAAAATGAAACTAGACAACAAAAATCGATTATTGACTACACTATCGCAAAGCAGAGCTCGAACATAAAATTCCAGGATGTGAGAGCATATGAGGCGACCTGTGGTAGTGATCACTACCTCCTGGAAACAAAAATCTTTATCCCGGGTAGAAACACCGCGAAAGCAAGGGGTTGTACATGAAGAGATTGGATCAAAAATTACAAAGTAGTATGAACTTCCAAAACCTTGAAATGCATTACCACCGTATCAAAGAGAGTATTCACAGTGCAGCATTTGAAGCCCTTGGCTAATACGAAAAAAGTGGAAGAAGGCCCTCACCTTATCGGTGAAATCAAGAAATAGAGAAAAACATAGCAGATAAAGGGAAGAAATACCAACAGTAGGTATCTAAGTTCAAATAAGACACGAGACAAAGAAATATATAAAGAAGCACAAGCAAGAGTACGAGTCATGGGAAAGAAACTGTGCGCATATTAATACTTATCTGGGAGGTAAAAAAAACACAGAAAGTTGGAGATTACCTACTAAAAAAAATGAGAAAAACAAAAACCAAGGATATTATCAATACACCCCAGCAATGAGAAGAGTACTTTGGAGAATTACTGACAGAACAGCGGGCAGAGTTTAAAGAAGAAAAGGAACAGACAGGAAACATAATAACTGCAGGATCACCAATAAGAGTTATGCAAGAAGAAGTTAAAAAACATTGTAGCTTCTTTAAAAACGGTAGGGCACCAGGCCCAGCAGGAGAAATACCTATTTGGAGAACTGAGAAACTCTTGGACCAATAAACTCAACAAATATTTAAGAAAACTATTTCAAACATGCATAAATAAACATGAAGTAGGTATACCCTATTACGTAATAAGTTGTATTATCGTACTAGTGATGTAATGAGCTCATGGTATTGCCAGTGTTTTAATAAAGCTCATTACATTTCTCATTTTTATTAGAAAAACAGCAATTTTTTACAATTTATTTATTCGAAAAAATTTTAAGTACCTACTAAAAGAAAAACTAAAACCATGTGGGTAGTAGATAAAATGTTGTATATCACACGTACGGTAACGCTGATCACAGCACTCGTGTGGTTACCATCACGACCCGCCATAACCCCATGGGCCGATATGGCATTCCCTACTCGATACCACCAAAGTCTTTTTGGATACTGTAATGAGGTTCATACCGTACTGTAATATAAATAACTTTTTTCTGATTCACTACCATCAGTCATTTCATTATTGAAATCGTATCCAATAAGGTTCTTCATATTCAATCATTTTTGAAAATGAACAGTTCTACAAATTGTTGTAAAAAGCCTTGAGCGTAAATTCATCCTACATTATACCTATCTCACTTTATACTGCTCTTTTTTTGTTAGCTGGAAAAATCAAATGACAGAAAACCCAGACGTGTAAAATTCTCCATCTCTTTCTCTTACAAGCTGCTAGAAAAAGACGCTAATAGACGTTAGTGAGACAAAACGTCGTCTCATAACCTAAAAAAAGATTGTTGTTTATGGTTGATGTTGATTTTGATTATTGAACCTTGTTAAATTTGTTCAAATTGTGAAAAATGAGTGCTTTTAAACTAGAGGCTGGCGATCCAGACTTCAAAGATCGTCAAAAAAAAGTTTTCGATCAGCTAATGGTTCTGGAAAATAGCAGAAATTCGACCCCAACAAAAGAAAGGGACCCAAGGGATGAACCTAGGTCAGATCGTAGGTCTCAAAAAAAGGAAACCAAACATTTTCGAGGAAAAGAGAGCATCTTCAAAAGACCCCAGAATCCTGCTCCTAAAAACTACATAAACAAGTAAACAATTAACAATACAATAATCATTTATAATACCAATTGATGATTCTAGGATACCAGACTTTAAAAAGAACCCACACAAATGGACAAAATATTCTTTAGAAGATGTGCAAGATATAACTGACGAGAGTAACACAAAATCTGCAATGGATTTCCTAAGAGAGCTTGCAAACAGAAAACAACGTGAAAATGGAATGGAAGAAGAGAAACTAGAAGAACTACCAAGCAAAATTGTTTTCAATAAACATTTACGCACAAACACCATAAGAGGCAAACTAATTTTAGTTTATTTGTCATATTGTTTTTAAATATATTTTTAGACAAAACTACTGCAATAGATGGTGATATTAATGAATCTGAGCAAAAGCCAACATTTAGCCATAGCAGCTCAAAAATTGTAATGCCCGAGTACGTTATAGGACAAAAACCACCTAAAAAGGACAAACCCAAAAGAAGTAGCAAGGCAGATAAGGGAAAAGAATTGAAACTTGACCATTTGATGTTTGAAGACGATTAAAGAGAACACTGGTATAGATTTAAGATTACCTATTTAGAAAAATAAATCAAGTAATCATGTGAATATAAAATAATATATTAGAATAATTAACAAATAATGGTAATGGTATTTATTATGACTGAGTTCCAGCTATACTTAAGGCAATAACAAAGTCTTCACCTAAAATAAATAAATGCTTGTTTCCTGCAAAAATACCTGTGAAAAAAATTGAAATTAAAAAAGTTACATTACAGTGCAGAAAATCTCACCTAAAATATGTTTATTGGGCAAATTAAATACGTGCTGCTTAGCAATATTTTTCACTCTAACACCAGTAGATCTTTGTCTCAAATCAGCTAACAAAGGTATATTTTGCCTGTAAATAAAAATATGTCCTACAGACTCGCTGATTACTGCATAATCTAGATTGGGAGAGCACATTAAAAATTTCCTGTTTGTCTTAGATGCCTAAAAAATTTGCTTCATTACAATTTCACCAAAAGAAATGAAACATGGAACAAACCTGTACATATCCAAAAGCGTGCAATGTCCCAACATGTTTGCAACTAAAATCATTATCAAGAACTGGTTGCCAGAGACATAAATCAATATCATGTCTTATTCCTGAAATATCGAAAATGAAATATTTACTATGTGCTATTAAAATTATTACCCAATGCTGGTGGTAAATCTGAATTCAAATAAGGGCTTAAAAGGACTTGATGAGACCCCAAATGAATCCTGTGAGTTGCTTCGTTAGTGACCCCACTAATCCTTTCAAAAGTTTCTGATTTATCAGTTTCAAAATCACACTCTTCTATTTGTTGGGAATTAAATGTTGTACCTGTTTGGGGCAAAACCTGAAATACAAATACATTAATAAATCTATATATTTTTGGTAATCAAATTACTTCTGTATCACTAGTTCTTCTTTGCAGTCTTTGATTAAAAGGTTCTACAATACATGTTTCTAATACATCATCTCCTTTGATTAACTCTTTCCAAAATACACCTTGAGTGCTTTTAGTTAGGATAATTTCTAAAATATCATTGTTTAATGTCCAAGTCAACAATGAAGGATCAATATGGTTTTCTAGTTCACCAGAAGTTAAGCTTTTAGAATTATAGCTAACATCTATTTTTGATTGATCACAAGTAACTTTAACAAGATTTTTGTGAGCATTTTCAGGTAAAGATACTTTTATACTAATTTCTTCAAGCGTCTGAGACCAATTGTAAATTTTCTCAGCTACTTTTTCAGTTTTCATTTGAACAGGATGCTCAGAATTCAAAACAAAACTAATTGCGTTTTCTGAAGCAACATAAATATGTTGACAATTTTTTTCCAAATGCAAATATTGAACTTCTCCTTTGGTTTTTAATTGTCTTATAGCAACTTGATTCCATGAACTATTTTCATCTTCTTTGAATGTTATCCAGTGAATAATTGATACAAATCGATCAACAGTATTTTCTTGTATGTGCAAAAGCAGTACATGTAATTCTTTGCTAATATCATTATAAAGAGCATCCGAAATGATAAATCCCTGATCTTCATCGTTTAAAACTTTGCCTGAGAACACAGTAGTGAATTCGTCATCGTCCCTTTTGTCTTTAGTATCTAAAATGTACAACAATCCCATCCCATCTGAGGCAACTGCAATTGTGCCACTTGCAAACTTCAGTGTTACATTATAATCTCCCGGAGCTCGCTCTCGAACTTTGGGAATAACAAATACACTCACAGGATCTACAAGTTCATTACTCAAACTATCAACATAAGTTTTTCTAATGTTGAACTGTTGATCCACATAATAAACTGAAGAATAGTTGTCGTACTTATCCCCAATTAAATGGTTGTGGAGTCCGAACAGTTTGGCGTGCAGTAAACCGTATTGACTCGAATTCAAATGGGTTTTATCCACTGGGGTTTCCAGGTTTTTGTGAGACGATTCTAGTTCTTCTAGGGATAGCTTGTAGCCCTCAAAGTTGGAGTCCATAAGGAGACGGTCTGGTTTTAGTTCCAATGTTTTTAGACTCATTTTTGGGCTCGATATACCTATTTGAGTGAAGAATTTTGGTAAAAACGCTGGATCCTGGATGGAATTTTAAAAATCGTTCTTGTTTGTTGTAGAGTTTTTAGAGGTTAGGTTTGGTTCAGTGGTTGGTGGTTGTCCAATTTCTTGCAGATTTCTGTAATTTTACAGATAACTGTACGAAATCTGAATCAAAAGTCAACAAAAAACTAACCTCAAATCGCCCCTTTTGTTTATTTTTACATTTGGATATCTTTTTATATTGTTTATAATAATGGTGTGTAGGTGTACACGTAAACAGGAATTGTTCGAAAGATTAAAGTGGATTTTGCTTTGTTTAAACTAATAATCCTCGAAAAAAAATTATTGAAGACGTGGTAAATTTTCAATGATAAATTACACGACGCTTCTTCTCTGACACGTAGCTTTCGCAGCTAGTACGAGCCCTGTAGCTTGTTTGTGGCTCGACTTAAGTTGAAAATTTGTTGTAAAATACTTTGGTAAGTGTGCAATAGTCTTATCAGTTTAGGTTTTAGTTATTTTTATAATAAATAACGTGACGAGTATGCTATGACCATCAATTTGTGGAGAAATGGCAGCGTTCAGGTTCAGACATTAATTTTTGTTGGGAAGAAATCTATGTTTATCAGGTATTTTATGTTAGAAAAGGTACAGGTTTTTTGACCCTTTATTATAACAATTTTTAGGCTAATAGCATGACTTAAAACTTATTTGATCTGTCCCATTTCGACTATTTTTAATTTCTATTCCCTAGCACACATGTAATGTACAAAAACTTATTCACAACACTGACTAAGTCGAGATTAGTGTTGTAACAAGCAAACTTTACCAAGCGAACGTTCGCACTTTTACCGTAATTTACGGTAATGTTCGTTCCTCTCTAAGCGAAAGTTCGCTGAAAATGCATTTCTAAACGTTTTCTAATGGTTTGATTTGAGTCTTGTGTTATTACCATTGACTCTAGAAAGTTCGTTTTTTAAGTTCCTTTTTTTAGAGTTCCTATTTTTATTTTTAAATTTATTTTTTTATATTATTTTTTGTTTTGACTTAACGCTTTATGTAGTTATGTTATTTAGGTATTTGCATTTAAAGATTTTTGAGTTTTATTTTTTGGTGCTACCACTGCCACCTACATCTACGTTGTTTTTTAGTTTGTTTTTTTTTTTACACCAACTTACAAGAAACAAGACTTGTATTAATTTTATAAATATTATCATTTTCTTTACAATAAATTAATAATACATAGACAAGGGTTATCTACATTTATGGAAAATTCCCCTACCCCTACCAGAGAAAAGAAAAATAGGGAAATTTAGTGAAACTTTATTATAAATAGACATTTTTACAAGCCCTACATTAAAAAGCTGAATTTATAGGAGCTTTTGCAACATTCTCCAAAGTTCTCATTATTTCTCGAAAATTCTCAAACATTCCCGAAAGTTCGGTAACGTTCGAAAATTACCGAGAATTTTATACAGTAGTGTCGCAATAATCCGGATCAATTAAAACCAGACCAATCCGGATTATCAAATTATTCGGATTACTAAGGCATTTTACAGTTCGCTTTTTCTTAATGTCACTGATGGTTGAAGCCCCTACTCCATACTTAACAGCTAAATATTTCCCACTAACTCCGCATTTCAGCTCGTCTATAATCGCTGACTTTTCGTTGAGACAAGTTTTGTGTTTGCGTTTAATAGGTGCCATTTTCTTTGAAAAAGCCCACACAGTAAGGAAGGACGCTGCGTATTGAAAGATGCGTGTAGACATGTAAAAACTATCTATCCACTTGAACGCAGTTACAAAACGACAAGTGAAAACCTGTGTTTTTATTTTCAACAGTCATGTTAATGAATTCGGATTACTAAATCAAGTAAAATCCGGATTATACCTAGAGTACTTCAAGGGAATGAAAATGCAATGCGGATTACAGAAGCATACGGATTATCGCGGGATCGGATTATCGCGACACTCCTGTAACACTAGTCGAGATGCATTTTTCTCAATTATTTAAAAATATTTTCTTCCATCTAACATTCTTTTGTCTCAATTTTTGTCTATTCCAGGCTTTTGATTTTTTTTTTAATTTATTCCAGCTTCAGGCCTCGTTTCAGGCTCTGATTTTTGTTTTTATTCAGAGTTTTACTCTGTGAAATTGTAAAGGATTTGATTGGCTTTAATTTGAGCCTAATTACGTTAAAATCAGATTTAAATTAACAAAGTTGTGAATTACATATTTAAAAAAAAAAATGAGAAAAGTGACATTTAATTTAATTATTGGGGATATTAGCTAAGGAGTACGTCCTCAGGTAAGTCATAACATGTTTAAGTGTACTACAAGAGATACCTCTATAAGTCTATACAGAAGATATCCACAGATTTCCTCAGATTACCTTGGATCCCCCTAAGACGAGTGGTCAACTGGGGTTCAAAATCGTGTACCTAATTCCAATAATTCCAAAAAAAATCAAATAATTCCAACAATTCCAACAAAAATTTCATAATTCCAAACAATTCCAGCATTCCAGTAAAAATTCCGCCAATTCCAATAATTCCAGTAAAAATTCCAACAATTCTGTTGAAAGTTACAATTCCAAGAATTCCTAATAAATTCCAATCATTTTAATTCCAATACAAAATTCCAGATGTATGTACAGGGTGATCCAGTATAAAGTGAACACCCCCTACCTTTTTGCTAAAAAAAAATTTTTTCGTTAAAGCGCTGTGACCAAAAAAATAATTTTTTAAAATGGAATAATAGTTATTTATACACCAAGTGAGTTAAATGAATTTTTATTCATGAGAAGAAAGTTTAATCCACGAGCCCTAGCGAGTGGGTTAATTTTCTTCGAATGAATAAACATTTTAACTCACGTGATGTATACAAAATTTTATCCCATTTTGTGAAAATTTTAAAAATAAAGTAGAAGGAAAAATGCCGGGAGTGAGTTAAAAATATTTTAAGGGATTCAGGTAATGAGTCTCGTGATAGGTTTTCTATGATTTCTATTTTCTATTGTTTGCACATTTTAATTTCTGGACAATGGTATATCTGTCAAATCTGGCGTTAAAGAATTGCAGATTTTTTCTACAAACATAAAGTAATCTGTCATAAGACTTTGATTTAGATGACCTTTTTCTCTTGCCGTCTTTATTCGCTCTGATCTTTGATACCTAAAAGTTTTCCCTTTTTGACTTCCAGTACGATCTTGTCTAGATGATTCCTCGGATGGTTCAAAACTTGATTCAATATCTGCAGCCCGTTCCTTTATCGAGGATATAGAGTTTAGTCCTGATGGTCCTGGTATGGTAATATCTCTTAGAATGTTCATTTTTCTGCTAGTATCAGAGTTTTTAGTTGGTTTTACTTAAAGAAACAACAGGTCTGGTGAAGGGTTGTCGATTGAAATATTCAATAGTAATATAACTAGTGCAATGGAAATTATTGATAATTTTTGGAAAATTTGCCCGAATGCATTTTTAGTTGAAAAAGAGCACGAGTGCACGTAGTGCACAAGTGCCTTTTTCAGTTAAAAACGCATGAGTGCAAATTTGTCGAAAATTATAAATATATTTCCATTGCACGAGTTGTATTTAATGAGAGAATTTCATAAATCAAAAATTGTTGATTGAAAATTTGGCAACCGGGATAAACGACCATGATCTACACTTTAAAAATATTTTTGACCATGCGGTGTTGCCGCTTCTACTCTAAACTAGTGGCAACATCACTATTTCAAATGGAACACCCCGTATGTGATTGCATATTTGGGTTCTACGTAAAATTATGAGCAGATTTCATGTGATATACCCTATACCTAAGTTCAACTGTTTTGGAAATATTGACAGTTGAAAATTGACTTTTTGCAACTTTGACAGGCTGTAAACCCTAATTGGTTAATTTTAGAGGAGAACCGATTTCACATTCCTATCTTAGATTTTGATAAACTATCATTTGACACCAACTTTGAACTTAACCGGAGATTAAATTTAACTGAAATTTTTAATCATGGATTTAATTCAAAGTTGGTGTCAAATGATAGTTTATAAAAATCTAAGATAGGAATGTAAAATCGGTTCTCCTCTAAAATTAACCGTTCAGGTTTTACAGCCTGTCAAAGTTGCAAAAAGTCATTTTCAACTGTCAATATTTCCAAAACAGTTAAACTTAGGTATATGGTATATCACATGAAATCTGCTCAGAATTTTACGTAGAATCCAAATATGCAATCACATACGGGGTGTTCCATTTTAAATAGTGATGTTGCCACTAGTTTAGAGTAGAAGCGGCAACACCGCATGGTCAAAAATATTTTTAAAGTGTAGATCATGGTCGTTTATCCCGGTTGCCAAATTTTCAAAATGATCCGCTTTTCAGTTCTCCATAAACGTCTAATACGCCATCCACCGTGGGACACCCTGTATAATACAGATTGTCTCCAGAAATTTTGGTATTGATCTGAATGTTGTCGAAACTTAGTGAGAATGATTTCTACTGCTCTTGGTCAAATTTAGTTTTAGCCCATTTTTTTAGAGTTGTCAAAATTTGTGCATTTTCTTCAGTCAAATTCGTGGAAAAGTAACTTTTTTCACTAGCTACATCCTGTGGTTTAAGACGTTTCCTAGATTTGGATCTTTTGTTCTTGAACTATTCAGCGATCATTTTTGTGATTTCCTTGTGGCCTCCGATAAATTTGAATATATTGGGTTTATTAGTAAAAGGACCATAGTACTTTTGGTGATCCTCTTTACTAAGGATTTGTGGCAGTTCGTTCCTTGCAAATTCTTCTATCTCCAATAACAAGTTGTCATCAAATTTAGCCAAAAGAGGAGCGTCTTGGTAGCCATTTATGATTAACATATTTTTTATTGAATCTGGAATTCGGATCTATAGAGCATCTCTGGATCTGAGGAATTCAGAACTTGGCTTCAAAAGTTATGAGCCAATGAAGCTTCCTCTCAAATCTTTTCCTAAATCTGAGGTTCAAAAAAATATAAGCAAATCAAAGAATATGATAGTTGAAATGCTCAAAAACTCTATGTTTGTTTTGTTATCGAAGCTGCATACAAAAGTGTGGATCAAAACTGTAAATGAGGTAGTGCAATGATATTATACAATAACATACTTGTGCCAATAGACAAACTATTTCCCACCCTTGAAAGAAAACCAACCTTTTTGGAAAATTTTCTCATAACATAGTCAGCATGAACCTGGAAATTTAAATTTGAATCCAAAATTACCCCCAAGTACTTGATTTGGTTTTCATGTGCCAAAGCTCCATTATTCATGCTGATGTTTATGTTATCTACATCAATATCCCTTATTTTTGAACTTTTACCAAACACACAAAACTAAGATTTCTCAACTTTGATGCAAAGATTGTTATCACTATCACAGAGCCACCCATATAATCTATTCAATTTCACATTCCTAATCTGTTGTAATTGGGTCACATTTCTGCCAATGACGTACAGCATTGTGTCATCCGCAAACAAAACAATTTCACTTTTACTCAACACACTACCTATATCATTTATACACAGGGTATACCATTTAAAACGAAACTGTAATTTGAGTTGGGGAGCTAACAATTTGATTTAAATCCATTTGAATATACAGTTTTCAACAATTTATTTCCATAGAAACAATTCTTCAAGAGGTCAAAATTAAAATCACCCATTATAACATTATTACCCTTAAAAACACTCTCCCATCAAGGTAATCTGAACAGAAGTCAACAAAATTTGCATTTTCTTTCTGGGGCGGATGGTACAATATGGTGCATAAAAACTTCAAATTTGTTGAGCCTAGTTCAAGAGATAACAACCATACATAGTTCTAGACACACTGCAATATTTTGATTTTATATTTAAGGTCAGTTCTTATTAGGGCCATCATGACTCTCTCAGTTCTTCGATTAGTTGTTACACATTGTTCCAAAAATTATATCCATCAATCTTCAGTTCTATTTGATCAATATTTTCAGTCACATGGGTTTCTGATAGTAACAGTAATGTAGTGAATCGAATTTTCGTGACGAACTACTTCCATGATTTCATGAACACAAGCGCTTTTTTGAGAAACTTATGACGTCATATTGAACAAAGTTCGCCGGAAGTATGTACGCAGCTTCTAGCCAGCGTTTGTCACAAGATGAACTAGACTTCGTCCTTGGATGAACTACAATCGTCGCGAAAATTCGGTTTTGGTTTCCAATCTGTAACCAAAACAGTAATTTTGTCTTTATTGTTGAGATAGCCCTGGCAATTGAAATACACAACACTGGAGTTTAGGACAATATTTGCATCTAACTGCTACTTACTTGATAAATTTGTTTCTTTGAAGTGGCTCCATTTTTTGGTAGATTTCACACTTAGTCACATCCCAGAGAACATGGACAGTATTCACGTTCAGACCATATTTCTGTTTTGACAATTCACAATTGGAGCATTTAACAACATCACTGGAACAATCTTTATAATCATGTTCATTACTGCGTTTATGGCATACTTTCTTTTTTTTTGCAGTCTTTCACTTGATGACCATAACGATAACATTTAAAGCATCTAATGATACCATAATCATCATGTACCCAGCACCGATTCCACCCAATATTCATTCTCTGTTTTTCTATTAGTATAAAGTATGTATTGCTATTAATTTCATACACAAAATTGAATCTACTTTCATGAACTTTTGATCTGTACCTTATTTTTAACTTTGTATTCGGGTCCAGGTCGTTTTGGTTTCCCACTTTCGATAAAATTTCCTATTCACTGTTGTTGAATTCCGGCCTATCAAAATCATAGTTATTAGAAAGTTTATTCTGGATTTCTGATTGTATACTTGCAACCGATTTCTCGTTCTCACAACTTAGAGTGAGGCTCCCATCTCGCGTAAAGAGAAAAAACCATACTTACCAACATTCTTGCTCTGGAACTGAGAAATTTAAAACTTAGCTTCAAGATTTATGAGTCAATGATGCTTCTTAAATCTCTTTCTGGATTTCTGAGGCTTAGAAAAAATATGAGCAAATTATATAATCTGATAGTTAAAGTTGAGGTTAAAGTGCTCGAAAACTATATCTTTGTTATCTGAGCTGTATTTCAGCTCTAAATTTGTCAAAATCCAAATAGCTGTAAATAAGTTTGACCTATAAAATCTGAAACTTTTTCTTGAAAATTGTCATTGGTTCTGAATCTGAGATATCTGCAAGTATAAGCAAATCACAAAATCTGGAAATAAATTTAAAGAAAATTAAAGTTAGCATTAATAATAAAAACACAAAATCCTACAAAAACTATCACAATAACCCAGAAGAAATTTTCAAAAATCCGGGTTTTTGCCATCCCTGAATTTCCCCAAACCTCCCAAGATTTCCCTGAAGAGTTTTGGATATCTCCTGCAGGGTGTACACAGGATATTCTGTTGTGAATGACCTCAAATTCAACCAAGACATATTGTAGTAGGATTATAACCTTTGTAAAATAGAACACATTAAACTATTTAAGTAGTATCTGATTAATGGGCAATAAAGTTTAACCCTGAACATTTATAGTATTAATTTTAGAGAAATTATAAATTTATCTGGCATAAACCTATTTCCTTATCTATTGAACAAATCCCAACTTAAAGAATCAATAAATTTATATTGTAAAAGGCAACCAATAGTGGAACAATAAAAATTAACCTTATGTAGTGCTCTTGTTCAAATTATGCAGGGTCTCTTTTTGAATGCATATTTAAAAATAATGTGTTTTTGAAACTATAAAACAGAAATATATTTAACTTTAATCGACGTCATAATTGTGTTGAAATAATATATTCACAAGGATTATGTTGTAAAATAATCGCTCTAAACCTTTGCAAATAGCTACTCTTATTAACAATTGGCTATAATAATATTATTTTTCTTATCTTTGTTTAATCCTACATTTAATTGAATGTGCTTTTTTTTTAGTTGTTCGACATTCCAGTTCCACAATGGTAGTGAAAAGTATTTGCTGTTTGGGTGCAGGTTACGTTGGAGGGCCAACATGCAGTGTCATAGCCCTAAAGTGTCCAGAAATTAAAGTTACTGTAGTCGATAAGAGTAAAGATAGAATTGCTCAATGGAATAGCGATAAGTTACCAATTTATGAGGTAAGAACTTATTTACTATAAGTACTTTGTTTAATTTCACTTGACTTACCTCTAATCTAATTGTTTTGGAATAAGTAACTATACTTGACTAGAGATGAGACTAATCTGAATATTTTTATTAAGCCTGGTCTAGATGATGTGGTAAAGGCATGTCGTGGCAAGAACCTCTTTTTCTCAGACGACTGCGATGCTGCCATAGTGGAAGCAGATTTGATTTTTATTTCAGTCAACACACCTACCAAGACTTTTGGTAATGGAAAGGTAAAATTCTAATTTGTTTTTGAAAGCAAAAAAAAAAAATAATGTTCAACTTTATAGGGTAGAGCTCCTGACTTAAAATTTGTTGAAGGAGCTGCCCGCATGATTGCAGACGTTGCTCAAAGTAACAAAATCGTCGTGGAAAAAAGTACAGTGCCAGTCAACGCAGCTGAAAGCATAATGAAGATCTTGAAGGCCAATCAAAGACCTGGTGTATCGTATCAGATTTTAAGCAACCCTGAATTTTTAGCTGAAGGCACTGCTATAAACGATCTATTAAACGCTGATAGGGTTTTGATTGGAGGTGAAGAATCTCCAGCTGGTGAAGCTGCCATAGAGGAACTGTGCAGCATTTATGAACATTGGATTCCCAGAAAAAAGATTCTCACTACAAACACATGGTCAAGTGAACTATCAAAACTAGCTGCCAATGCAATGTTGGCTCAAAGAATATCCAGCATCAATTCTTTGTCAGCAGTATGTGAAGCTACTGGAGCTGACATTACAGAAGTAGCTAGAGCTGTTGGTTTGGATTCTAGAATTGGACCAAAGTTTTTGCAAGCCTCAATTGGTAAGTAAAGTTCAACTGCTTAATTGTATTGTCTCTAAGCTTTCTAAGAAGATAATAATAATGCAACAAATACAAATCATTAACAGTGAGAGCTTCGTTTTGTGATAGTCCTTTCTTGTATGTCCTTTCAGTACTAACAAAAAATTTCAAGCTGCCTTCTTTTATTTTGGTCTTGTGGTTTCGGAACGAAAACGTGTTTGTGTTATTATTGTCCGAGCATTTTTTAACTAAATTCATTTATTTCAAATTACGGGTTTTGGCGGGAGCTGTTTCCAAAAGGACATCCTCAATTTGGTCTACATCTGCGAGTGCCTTAATCTACCTCACGTAAGATACTTAATTTATTAAATTAATTAGATTTTGATTATTGGAATGTTACTATAGAGGCGGCACCACTCTTTTATCATCAATAATTACTGATTAATTTTTATCCTAATCTGCATAATAGAGACCTGTCTGAGCTAAAGTTACATTGTCACTGGATTTTCTTTAACAATTTTCATGTTTATAAACAATAGTTATTGTTGAAACTGCTAACTAGAATTTTTTCTTCTATAACAGCCCATGGTAGTTTGTGAAAAAAGTATACCATAACAATTTAGTTCTTAGATTACATACATCACCTTGAAACAGTTAGGTGTTGCCTCAACGTGTCTCAACATTATTTTTCACTAAATTGGCTTACGATTACCAAAAATTCTATTAAACCGACAATTCCAATAGGTTGCTGCTTATTGGCAAAGTGTCATCGACATGAACCAACACCAAAAATACCGTTTCACTGCCAAAGTGGTCGAGAGCCTCTTCAACACTGTCAGCGGCAAAAAAATTTGCATCTTGGGATTTGCTTTCAAGAAAAATACCGGAGACACTAGAGAAAGTGCCGCAATTTATGTGGCCAAAACGTTATTAGACGAAGGAGCTTCTATTAACATCTACGACCCTAAAGTTGAACAACCTCAAATTTATGAAGACCTGAAATATGAAGGAGTTTCCGCAGAACGACTTAAGAGTTCCGTTAACATTTTCCCTGATGCTTACTCAGCCACCAATCAGTGTCACGCAGTTGTTTTGTGTACCGAATGGGACGAATTTGTGGTAAGATATTTCATTTTCAGTTGGCTCAATTAAAATTTTTTGTTTTAGACTCTTAACTATGACAAAATCTACGACAAAATGATGAAGCCAGCTTACATGTTTGACGGAAGGAAAATTTTAAACCACAATGAGCTGTTGAGAATTGGATTCCATGTTGAGACAATTGGGAGCCGTTTAGGGCAACCATTTAAACAAAGAAGATACAGTATCAATCCACAAATCTTATAATTTAGAAGGCATCACCCGATGTGATTATTATTTAAGGACTACTTAAGTATTTTGCTGGTCAAAATATTGTGCCAGTAATTCTCATTGAAAAAAAAAGTATTAGTTTTCGGTCAGTTTGTTTTTTAGATAATTAGGTATCTAGCTTTATAAGTTTCAACCTTATAGTATTTTATGCTTCAAAATTTTTTCACTGTTCCTATATTGATTTTATTTTTTGTCTTTTAAGGTGCTATACTTATATTTGTAAGACTTTTGTGCAATAAATAATTTTTATCTTAAGTGTTTAGTTGAATCCCAAGCAGTGGCGGTTCCTCCATAAGAGCACATGTGCACGTGCACTCCCAAATTAATATCAAACAACTTTAAATTTAATTTTATCATTCTTCAAATTTTAACAATCTACCTGTAAAGTATTAATTTAAAAAATTAGTGGCCAAATGCGCCAGCAAAACAAACGCAACCGGCATTTATTATGAATTACAAATTATGTGCACCCCCAATATGTTATACCACGAGCCGCCACTGATCCCAAGACTGAATTCACAAAGTTCGTCAGGTCAAAATAATGTCTATACAGGGTGTCTGGAATAACTTGAAGTACATGAGGATTTTGGAAACCAGTATTAGGGAAAAATTTGCACAATCAAGTGTTTACAAACAATCTGTCATCAACTTTTTTGAATTCGGAACAGGTGCGGATACAGGCCTTTTGAAAGGGGGGTGGGCAGTTTAAGTTAAAGTAAGCCAGATTGGGTTAGTTTGGGTTAATTTAGGCAGCGCATTGTGCAAGATACGGTTTTTCGAAAAAATGGCGCATAAAAATATGGCAATGGGGGAACTATTTAGAAGAATAAGGTGATATTAAATAGGTAGGTACAGGGTGTTTTTTTATATATAATCCCACCTACAGTCTTTACCTTTACAAGTAAGAGAAAGGTGTAAATACAAAAGTTGTACAGTTTTGGCTAAATTTTTAGAAACCATGGTCAGAAACAAAATTTGAATGTTAGAAATGTGAAATTTTACATGCTTTCAGCTTTTTTCAAATGGGATGCCCTATATTTCATTCTATATTTTTGAAGAGCGCAATGCCCCGATTCCAAAAAATATAATTTGTCTATATTTGATTGAACAGTCTCTCATATATTCGGCTCTAAAAATTGTAAAAATACTATCCTACTACGGATTTTGTGAACCATTCTACCTGTACAAGTGAAAGCTGTAGGTGAAATTTGAGGTACTTGGTTTCTCTGATAGTATTTTTAAAATTTTTAGAACCAAATATATTGGAGACGGCTCAACCAAATATAGACAAACTATATAGTTTTGGAATCGGGAAATTGTGCTCTTCAAGAATATAGAACCAAATATAGGGCATCCCATTTGAAAAAAGCTGGAAGCATGAAGCATGCAACATTTCATATTTCTGACATTCAATTTTTGTTTCTGATTATGGATTCTAAAAATTTAGCCAATACTTACTGTACAACTTTCTGTATTGTATTGTATTGTATTTACACCTTTCATCTACTTGTAAAGGTGAAGGCTGTAGTACAATGTACAAATTTTATTGCATTACAAAGCATTACGTGCTCATAAGGACGCATTACTCGCATTTAGGTGGCATTACTTTGACACCATGAGTCCATGAGACATTACTGGGTATAACCCAGGGATTATGCTGGCATTACCAGGCATTACGTGCGAATATCGCGGAATTATGCTTGCATTCAATGGAGTTACGGTTGATTTTAACCCCCTTTCCAAATATTCACTGCGAGATCATATTCATATTAGGTTTGTTCCAGCAGGCTATCAGAAATGTTGGCAGCAGCTTGTGACATGCGCAATGACAAATTTGTGTTCCAGCATTGGTTCCAGCAAAGAAATGTTAGTGACAATTTGCAAATGTAAGCTGTTTCAGCAGATGTTTGAAACATTTATAACGTGTTGGCAACTGCTCGAAATGCTTGTCGATTTTCTTCAAACATTTTAATTCCTAACCCAACTTTGACCTTCACCTTTGATCAAGGTTCCACCTGATCAATTTTTTCATTACAGAATTACAATGAAAATGGCGGCCAATGCCAAGCGGCAAGCAATGAAATTGGCGCCATAAATTTAATTCAAACAACCAGGAGATTTTTCATCAAAAAACTGTTTTTTGTTTATTTTGTGGTGTTCTTAGGTGATTTTTTAGTGTTTGGAAGGATAATTTTCGAATTTTAGGATGTGAAGTTTTTCTTTCATGAAGTTATTAGTGAAAAACCCGGATGTTGGCAGAAGGTATGAGTTCTTTTTGACAAATCTTTATCTACTAAATAATTAGGCACCTAAAAACTCTCCAGGATTTGTTTTCTGTTTAGTTTTTTCTCAACCAAATCTTGAAGCTTATTGTCTACTATTCAAGGTATTAACACAAGTTGAGGATAGTAAAAGGCTTGGATCCATACAACGTTTATGTGAAGAGACTTTTTGGTTTTTTAAAATGGATTTCATCAAATTTTTTCTCTCAATCCATGAAGCTCTACGTAGTACAGAAAAATCATCATTTTTTTCCGTTAATAACCTGTGTTTTGTATCTGCAGGAACGGCATAAAACAAGACTTTGTCGTGATTAGAACGGCTCCCACAACTATAAGTACCTACAATACATAACGTAGGCATTTTTCGAAAAATCAACATTTTACTACTTTACACAAATCGAAAATCGCAATAAAACGTAGTGTATAAACCTCAATAGTATAAACAAACACACCTCACAGAGTACAGACGCTTATGGCATTGGCCTCCATCTTGAACTTTTCTTGACAGCTCGTTGAATTGCCTTATTGGGAAATGTCAAACATTTTCGTTCCAGCAGAAAGGATAACGCACACCTAACAAGGGATTTTTGGGCTCTATGGATTTTTCCCATTTTTTGATATGTTGTAGAGGATTTAATTCTGAACAACCTTTATTTACGACTAATGTATAATGTGCGTATTATATTTGTGATTTTCGCAGTATAATGACATATGTTATTCTTCCAGGGATTAATGACGAGTAGCGGGATTAATGGTCATTATTCCACAAAAGTGTCAGTGTCAAACGTGTAGTGCTTGTGGATTTGTATTGAAAATTATGAGACGGATGAAATTTGTTCATTGAAAATCTCAAATAAATTAATTTGTCGTAAATAAAGTAGAGTATACTACTCGCAATAATGGCTATTATTCCCTCGGAACGTTACTCCCTCGCCGCTAACGCGGCTCAGTTCGTAATAATCCTCGGGAATAATAGCTATCATTATTGACTCGTGGTATAATCTACTATTAAATGGGACGAAATCTTGTAGGCATTACGGCCTTTGAGATATGAGCGTTGAAAGATGAACTTTTTTGCTACTTTTTGTGTGGAGTGTATACGAGATACTGGTGCTACTGGTGTTTATCAGTCAAAATATTGACAGGTTCGCATATTTTACGTCACTTAAAAATTAATGTCAATATAGGTTAAGGCCGGGACCGCACTGGGGCCAATGTTGGCGCCAGTACGGTCCCGGCCTTAGCCTATGTTGACATTTGTTAGTGACGTGAAATATGTCGACCTGTCAAAATTTTGACTGATAAAAACCAGTTTTTCATATACTCTTCACACAAAAAGTCGCAAAAAAGTTCATCTTTCAACGCTCATATCTCAAAGACCGTAATACCTACTAGATTTCGTCCCATTTGAAGGTTGTTAAGAATTAAATCCTCTACAACATATCAAAAAATAGGCAAAATCCATAGAGCCCAAAAATCCCATGTTAGGTGTGCATTATCCTTTGCTGCCAACCAGTGGCGTAGCCAGTAGGGGGGCAGGGGGGGCGACGGCCCCCCCCGCCCCTGCATGTACGGCGCCCCTACCGCTCTTAGAAAACAAAAGCAAAAATTGAGAAATTATAAAATTACATTGGTTTTTATTTATATTGTTACCTCATCACAGTCTTCACCCTTCATTTTTTATCGTAAGTCGTTATTGTCGGCAAATGACTGACATTTATTTATTTTCATTTCAGTTTCTGATCTATTCTATTACATTATAATTTCTAAGAAACAAATATTATTAATTTCAATTTATTTATTTGTTGATTAAACTAGGGGTTTCGGTTAATGGATTGGGTGGGGCTGTCATGCCCGGATTTGTTCTAGTTCTTAAGGCGTCTGCAGACGTCCGGGATGCATGAAGGTAAGTAACACCCTGTTTAGCATTCGGCAATCCGTTCGACAACGGTTCGGTTTTTTAAATGTGACACCCGTGGTTGCATGGATGTGCGCTTTATCGGGTGTTACTTACCCTCGGTATTAGATAAGCCTATTTACTATCACCATCTTGTAAATATGTAATTATTTTAGAGCATTGAAATTTTAAAACATGAGTATATAAGTGCAAAATATAATTATTATTTTTATATTATTCTAAATTATACTGTGCGTTCGTAATTTAGCATATAAAAACAATAAAAGAGATTTCTAGAAAAACCTCGGACACTAATTTTAATTTAGGAGAACGTCTTTTTCACTTTTTGTATAGTTGTGGAACATCGGAAAATCCAAAATGAAGGCCACGTTTCACATTTTTAAATAACACACTGTATATGACCTTTTTTTATTTGTTTTTTTTTTTGTGAAATAACAAGGAATTTATTAATATAGAGGGTGGGCTCAAAAAACCGGAATTTTGTTTTTGAGCTGTAATTTTTTTGTTGCTGACCAATTTCCTATTGTGTGTAGATATAGACTACAAAAGATTCAGAATAATTGCGTACGATAGGTATATACTGAACCACAGATTGAACATAAATAGACGAAAACATGTTACTCCTTACATTACTAAGATTGAAATGCTCAAGATAAAAGGAAGAAGATTTTTACATTTTGCTGTTTTGATACAAAATATTATTTAGAACTCAGAATATCTCTCCGGTGAGGCTTGGTGACATTCATACCAGGTCAAAAAGGAACAGATACTTTCGA